ACGTGAATCAGTGGATATTTCTGTTAGTGAGTGAAAGACTGAGGAGCTCATCCTCTGCAGTTACTCTCTAAGGCCCCACTCCTTGGTTCTTCATCCAAAACTCTTGAAGTTGGTGGTCCCATCACTGTGAAACTCTTTCTCCATAGAAACTTTTAGATTAATTCTGTATCATTTAAAAACAAAATTACTACCTTCACTACATAGGCTAAGACAGAGGACTGCACCAGTAAGGCCTCCTTGGAGTTAAGCTCAGTTCTCAGGGATTATGTCAACAGTCATAGGGTTTTTTTTATGCCATCTGGGAACGAGTTTCCTTCTTTCAATATTTTTTAAAACTTCTTAAATCTGGCCTGCTCCCCCACTATATCCTGAGCAGTGGTAGGTTACGGATCCCGGTGCAATCGGTACGCTGCAACGGAGCCAAGCATCCACCACGTGCATACGTGTGCATGCGCTCACCACCCGCAATGCCTCCGGCTGCTTGGTGGAGTGTTGCGCAGGCGCCGTAGGCTCTGTGCACAAATGCCCCGATTGGCTCAAATAGCGGTGAGTGGGCGAGTGGGCTCTCCAGAGCACCGTACCAGAACGGTACCTGGTGCTCCCAGCAGGCACCGGTACCCCTGTACGGGGGTGTACCAGTCATATCCCACCACTGATCCTAAGGACCCCATCCAAGTGGTGAACAGACCTGCCCTTGCCTAGCTTCCCTTTCCAGATTAAGTCATCCAGATGTTGACCCCCGCTGAGTGTATAGGTTTTTTTTAAAATTATCACAGTAGCATTAATATTAGACATTTTTTAGTCTACTAAACCTATTGAATACTTAAAGTAAATGTCATTCCTGAATTTTGGTTGACCAGTGTAGCTTCCCTCATGGCTCACCTCATGAAGGGTGAACTGTTTGCCCTCGCATCGGCGTGTCTCACCCCGCCCATAGATGGCACTGTGACGCCGGATCTCTTCTTCTTTGTGAGGGTCCCCGTTGTCCATCTGGAAGATATGCCCCACTGTTTTAGCCAACTTCTTATTCAGCTTCAGGAGAGTCTTCAATTCTACATCTCCGCTGCGTGGGCAGCTGCGCAACAAACGATCCACCCCCTCAGACACTGCATGGGCCAGCTCTGGATCGAGATGCTCCGAGGATGTTGGGGGATCGCTGGGTGAGGTTACCCCTCCTTCTTCTTCAGACTCGGGGTTCCCCCATTGCATGGCTGGCAAGGGGGACATCTTCTCTTGTGGCTCGGATGGGCTTTTGGAAGGGGAAGTGGCACTGGTTTTGCCAGGGATCTCCACTGGACTGGTGTGTCCGTTGGTGAGTGATTTATGGCCTTCGGACTCGGAGATCTTGAAGAGTGGTATGCTGCTTACAGGTATGGAGGGCACTGGCTGGTTGAAGAGACGAGGATTGGTTGCCCACTCCCGCAGAGCCTTCTGGAGGCGCCGGACATGGAGTGGCTTGGTCGCCATGCCAACCAGAGCCATGATCTCCAGGAACTCCTCCTCACAAGCCTCGCACAGTTGCTGCACATCATCACCGCCCTGCTGGATGAAGGTCTCATAGTAGGAGAGGAGGTTGGCTCTCTGGAGGACACGGTAGAGTTGAAGTTCGCCCAAGGTACGGGGCAGCAACAATGCCATTGCCTGCAGGGGTGACAGAGCGAGACCATGAAGGCCAATATACACGTAATCCTCAACTTACAGCCATTTGTTTAATGACTGTTTGAAATTACAACACCACTGATGTGCACGTCCACCACATATGGTGGTATGTTCCATGTTGTTGGTTGCATTTCACACTTATGACATTTGTAGCATCCCCATGATCACGTGACCAAAATTTGGACCCTTAGCAACTGACATGTATTTATGACAGTTGTACTGTTCCGGGGTCATGCAATCATCATTTGTAACCTTCCCAGACAGCTTCCAACAATAGTCCCTGCTCTGTAACCTCTACATCACTGTCATATTCCTGAGGCAAACAAGGCCCCAGCTTTTTCCTTACTCTCTCCTTCACGCTGATAACACTACCCTTCCCTTTGCTTTCTTGGAATAAAGTCCCACTGTGCCCAATGAGGCGCACTTCTTATTAAGTGTATTTTCAGGCTGCTGCTGCTGAAAACTTCAATTATTCTTTAAGATCCCGCTTTCTTCCTAGCTTTTTTTTTTTTTAACTAATGGGAGAATTTGATCTTGCACTAGAATTCACTAGGGATGCACATTCTGCA